TTCCTTCTGTATTGACCATCAGTATACAATTCCGTGTTGACAATCAGAATTACCTTCTGTGTTGACAATCAGAATAACCTTCTGTATTGACCATCAGAATTACCTTCTGTGTTGACTATAAACATTACTTTCTGTGTTGACTATAAACATTACTTTCTGTGTTGACCATCAGATTTACCTTCTGTGTTGACCACCAGAATTACCTTCTGTGTTGACCACCAGAATTTCCTTATGTGTTGACCATCACAATTACCTTATGTGCTCACTATTACGTAATACTGGAAACCGTTATAAACCCCTGATCAATAGGTTTGGTCGGTGCAGTTTGCTCGTGGTTAAATTTTAGTTGATCACACTGTCTAAGTATAGTCCTGGCTATATGATATGCGATAAAACACAATCGGGAAGCGGCAAATACCATAATATCGGCAGCTTTTGACTTCTGTGACCGGACAAGGCTCCTTTCTTCTAATGTAAATGTATCCAATAAATAAACCAAACACTAACGACCAGAACTCAAAACGTAACCCGAAATCCAAAACAACAGTACATGTATTGACAAAACATTGGTAGCAGCTAATGAAGTTTTCATATGAGAAAGTATATCAATAATAAATGAGGAACAGCAGTAGTGAATACTCAAATCCCAAAAATATATATCAAGAAATGAATCATTTTCAATGTAAATAGGATTGTAGCATAAATTTAATGTGCAAAGAGTAGAATTTTTTACTCCTTAATTTCTGCCAGATGTTTAATGGAATGATATGAATGGATTTTGATGGTCTCTGTATAAAAAATGAAATTAATGAATGGAGTTTTACCGTCTCTGTATGAGAAATGAAATGAAATGAATGGTGTATTACCTTCTCTGTATGGGAAATGAAATGAATGATGTAATACCGTCTCTGTATAACACATGAAATGAATGGAGTATTACCATCTCTGTATGAGAAATGAAATGAAATGAATAGTGTTTTACCGTCTCTGTATGAGAAATGAAATGAAATGAATGATATATTACCGTCTCTGTATGGGAAATGAAATGAATGGAGTATTACCATCTCTGTATGAGAAATGAAATGAAATGAATAGTGTTTTACTATCTCTGTATAAGAAATGAAATGAATGGAGTTTTATCGTCTCTGTATAAGAAATGAAATGAATGGTGTATTACCGTATCTGTATGAGAAATGAAATGAAATGAATGGAGTTTTATGGTCTCTGTATAAGAAATATGAGAAATGAAATGAATGGAGTTTTACCGTCTCTGTATAAGAAATGAAATGAATAGAGTTTTATGGTATCTGTATGAGAAATGAAATGAATGGAGTTTTACCGTCTCTGTATAAGAAATGAAATGAATGGAGTTTTATGGTCTCTGTATGAGAAATTAAATGAAATGAATGAAGTTTTATGGTCTCTGTATGAGAAATGAAATGAATGGAGTTTTATCGTCTCTGTATAAGAAATGAAATGAATAGAGTTTTATGGTATCTGTATGAGAAATGAAATGAATGGATTTTGATGGTATCTGTATGAGAAATGAAATGAAATGAATGGAGTTTTACCGTCTCTGTATAAGAAATGAAATGAAATGAATGAAGTTTTATGGTCTCTGTATGAGAAATGAAATGAATGGAGTTTTATCGTCTCTGTATAAGAAATGAAATGAATAGAGTTTTATGGTATCTGTATGAGAAATGAAATGAATGGATTTTGATGGTCTCTGTATGAGAAATGAAATGAAATGAATGGAGTTTTACCGTCTCTGTC